AAATGGTGGTGGGGTGCTTTGAACTAAAGCTCATTGAATGAGCTTTAGTTTAAAGCACCCCAATGCCATTTCTCAGCATGGGGATGCTGATACATGTGACACTGGAGTCTGCTGGAGTGCAGTAATTGCCACACACCAGCAGACTCAGTCAACTGCCCTTGCTGGGGTGTGCATGGGGCTGAGTCCCATCCTCCCCTGCCTGGGGCAGCGCATGAGGCGCTCCTAGCCTCCTCTGCCAGAGGGTGCCAACCCTGGTCAGCAGGCACAGCTTCCAGGCAGGGCTGCTGCTGCAGCTGCCCAGTGATGAACTGCTGGGTTCCCCCAGGCTCCAGCAATGACTCCTCCTGTCTCTGCTGCTGTGCTCTGGGCAGCAGGTAGGGAGGGGAAGCTGCAGCGTTGAGGGGAGCAGGGTGGGCTCTGCCTGCAGCTTACTTTGGTCCTGCTTATGCATGGCAGGATGGGGGAGTATGTGGGTGGAAGGGGGGCGTAAAGGAGCTTGGCTGCTCACAAAGCCCTGCTGGGCAGGCGTGGGACAGAGATCAAGTGTGCCAGGCTCAGCTCCCTGTCCCCTCTCCCTCCCCTCTCCTAGGGACTTCTCTTGCTGCCCAGTGCTAGCAGCTGCTTTCCTGCCCTTTGCAGCGTGCTGCGAGCCAGGCAGGAAGTGCTGATTTCCCCCTCCCCCCACCTGCAGAAGGGCTGGGCTCAGCCACATCACAAAGAGTGGGTAGGGGGGAAGCCCCCACACATGCACACCCCCCCAACACTGTTCCACATACCCCACACCTCAGCCACACACACCTGCCACGTCCCCACATACCCTACCCGCACCATGCATACACCTTCACACATCCCTCCCCCCTCCTCTGCTCCCTGCCCCGCATACACCCTCCTACCCCTCTACACAATATACTAGCAACCCACCCAAAGAGTATTTCCTGGACAAGGGGATAGACTTCTGGTGGCAAAGGTCAGGGGTTGGGGGAGTGGGGCTTTGGTCACAAGATGGCTACTGGGAGCGAGGCTACCCTTGCAGTCCTCAATGCCTCACCAAAACTTGTTAAGTGGCCCTCCAGCCAAAATAATTGCCCACCCCTGCACTAGTTCTTCACATGAATTTTTTTCCAGAGCCTTAGCTATTTTGACAGGCATTTATAGTGGAATATTCTAGAAAGGAGCAGCTTGCAAACCATGACTTTAACACCTACAACATTCTTTCAGATGGTTACTCAGTTTATGAAGTAGAATTCTCTCCTGGATTTACAGTCATTTTCAGTGCCAGCAAGAGCCAGGCTCTTTTTCATATGTTACATAATCTTCTTAGCATAACAACGGTTGCTTCCATTCTGAGCGCAGAGAGGAACTGGGGGTGGAAATAGGACTCCTTTACTGCTTTATAATATCCAAAAAGAAGGTAGATTTTCATTTCATTCTGGATCTGCCTTTGAATTCCAGCTGATGGGGGGGGGGGGGGGGGGGGGGTAAGATGCAATGTAGAGATGACTTCCTGTATTTGTTGTTGCAGATGGGGTTTATCACCTCGTGTCTATTCAAAAATTTTCTTATTCTGTTGAGGCCTCAATCAACTAATTTTTCTATAGCACTATGCACTGAGATTCTTCAACTGGTGTCTTGTCAAGAGGAACCATTCTTTTTAGAAACCGTACTCAGTCCAGTTAATTACTGGTATAAATGGTAGTGACTAGGGACAGAGAACCCTTATGTGCCCCATATAATTTCAACATATTTGACCCATGATGGAAGCACAGTAAAGTATCAGGTTGGCTGACATGGTGGGATGGATGGAGCGTCCCACGGGAGCATAGCGGGGGGTGTCCCTCAGTGGGCTTGGCAGCGGACCCAGAAGTGGACCAGAAGTACTTCCAGTCCGCTTCTGGGTCTGTCATGGAGCACATGCTCCTGTGGGACACTCCATCCGCATCACCATCTCAGTGTTCTCGAGCTGCACCTGGTACCTTGAGGTATGTAGAAAAATCATTTAAAGCTGTGTCTGTGTCCGAATCGCTGATTCTCTGAACCGGCATCAAATTTTCAGATTTGGATTTGGCCGAGTTGAATTGGTATAGTGATCCGAATCAACTAATCGAATTGCTGTCCCCCAAATCGGACCGACTTGGAATCGAATATGACCCACTTTGCACACCCCTACTGTGCAGCCTCCCCACCGCTGCACCATGAATCTGAGATCCCTCCTGACTTCTCCCAACCCCAACATTGCACCTCCATTGAGACTCACCCTTAGCTCTTCAGACTGCCATGCCCCCTGGTGCAGAGGCAGGAAGCTGCAGCTGGTGAAGAGAGGGGAAACCTAGAGACTTCAGCTGCTATTGTAGCTGGTGATGAGGGGAGTGGCCACTAGGCAGGAGCCCAAGGGCTGTAACTTAACCCCATGTGGGCTGCATGCAGCCCACACACAAAGCAGGAGTGTCCAGCTGGTGAGAGGGAAAGCATAGAGCAGGGGTTAGCAATCTACAGTCTATGGACTGCATCCCTCTTGCAGAGATAAGATCTGGCCCACAATCCAGTCCATGTTCTACCAGTTTCACATGGAAACCCTGTTGCAGCTTACCCATGGGATCTGGTCCAGATTCAGTATGTTGCATTTTATTAACAACTAGCTAAACCCCTGTCTGCCCAAAGGGCTCTATAGGATCTTGGTTCCCATTGCGGCTCTGGCTCCACTCTGGCTCCATGAAGAGGACAACTCTCTTCCCTGCCACGCTGCAGCCTCTGCTCACTGAATTAGCTACCCTGAAAGACACAGCAAGAGACAATTTAGAGGAGGCTAAAGGGGGTGGGGGAGTAAGAGAGTAGCCCCTCTGTACATAACAGGAACAACTGGGCACAGTAGGGGATGGAAAGCCCTTGGTTGAAAGGAGTGGCCCACATTGAGTAAAAGGTTGCTAACCCTGTGATCAACACTCATTTATCCCTTGTCATACCCTCCATGGCATCCAGCATCACTGGCTTAGAGATGCCAAAGAATACATCCCTGACAGCTCTATTAATAGGTATTGTATGGCAGCTACACCATATTCCTGATAATCTTGTTTCCCTTTTATGTATCTTTTCTAATTCATCCTTTTTGAGATGCTGAAAACAGAACTGTATGCAGTATCCAAAATGTGAACATACGATAGTTTTGTACAGTGGTCTGAAGATATTTTCGGCGGAGGACAGCTCAGCTCTGCATGGTCCCCGCACGCTGGCCTGGGCCGGGGAGCACCAAACCAGAGCGTCTCTTTTGGAGGACTGGCTCCGGGCATGGTGTTGAACCATGTCTTGCTCCACTCTATTGCAGAGCAGTTTTTTTAGACCCCTATGTCCAGGGGTCTAATTTTCTCTCTGCGCTGCAAACTTGGAGTGCAGGGAACATTTTTTCATTCCCGCACGTGCCTCTTGCCTCGCCTCAAAGGGGTTTGCGGCGGGGCAGCAGGTACGTGCGCGCTCGTCTGGATGTGCCCTCTTTGTTTAATTGCTACACAAATTACTTGGGACAGGTTACTATGAAGCAATAGAGTAGGCCTGAACTCCTGTACTGGAAATTCAGTAGTTAACTTTGCAGGGTCCAAACTCTTACAAATATGGGAATAAAAAAGCAGCCTAGAACCTAGCTTGTCTGTTGGTTTTCTGGAAGCAGTTTAATGAAATCAATGAGAGTTATTTGATATACAGAAGGACATAACTTAAACACTAAGATGCAAATTACAATGGAGCTTTGTAGCTAACATTTCATGGAAGCAATTAGGACATCAGGATGATTATAATTCAGACATTTTACTACCACTTGTTTATCTGGAAACAGTGTTCTGCAAGCCTGTGTTAAATAGGCAA